GTGTTGATGACATCCCAGTAGCAGTTGAAAAGCGAAAATATAGGTTACTTAAATAATACTTAGCTTTTGGCAGCAAACATTTGTTTGTGTAATTATTTTGTGAAATTCAATAATGTTGTAAACTTTTTTTTTACCTCTGTTGGTCCGTCGGGTATGAACAATACCGTTGTAAATTATTTTTACTTTTGTACAATAACTTCTATCAGTAACTTGATTACCTTTGCTGGTCCATCAGGTATGAACAGGTAGGCTCCGCTACGTTCCTTTCCTGAGCGCGCTCCGTACGTCTGGAAGCTGACCTCTGACCTGTGGGAATCACCTGAGGATTTAGTTGTTACTGTCTGCAATCAGAGAAACTCAACTAATTCAAGGTCAGCAACACAAATACCACAAAGATTCACATCATATAACACTTAATTAACTGTTGTTCTTTATTAGCCCCCCCCCCCCCCCTAAAAAATATGAAATCAATTTATTACAAGCAACGCATTTTTCAAAATAATCTGTGTCAGATACATAATCCTAATGGAAGGTTAGACTTGAATAATCCGGGAATACTGTTCTTGTATGTATGAGCCAGGTTTAAGTTAAATGTTTAGACTGTATTTATTAAGTGTTTGTATTTGACTGACTTTTACTTTCTGTGATTTATAATTAATTATATTGAAACAGAATAAATATACTCTAGGTTTTTTGTATTTGACTGATGTTTCTTTCTGTGATTTGTGATAAATTATATCAAAACAGAAATAAGATACCCTCAGCAGTCCAGTGGTTCCAGAGAACGTCACTTTCAGAAACAAGTTTTCAAGGCTGAACTCCGCAGAACTTTTCCTTTCTACTTTAAATGCAGAGCTGAAAAAATACCAGTAACATTACAGACTTAAAAATAACATTGTTCAGTTGTACTATGCAGATCTTGTAAATCTTTGCAAATTAAAAACAAAAGATGCTCCATTGTTCAATCTTGAGCCCTGATCACAGCAAACATTTTTAGAGATTTTTAAATCTGGCCTGGGGGCCATAAAATGTTGACAATCTCAGTTTTAATCAAATCTTACTTCTCCACTATATATTTCTTTGGTAAAAATGAGACTGAAATCAAAGGTGAGCTTGTCTAAATTTTATGGCCCCCAGGCAAAATCAAAGATGTAACCTTTTCTTTTCTTTATTCTCTAACATATTCAAAAATCATGCAGCTTAATAAATATTCCTTTTTACTCCTTTACCAGTATTTATTGATCGCTGCCAAGAGAACATTGATTTACTTTACAGAACTTAAGACAGACCAGACTTCAATTAAGGCTTTCTCAAATGGGACTCACAATTTTGACTAACTCAGATGAGACTTGAAATTTAGACTAACTCAGGAAAGACTTAAAACTTTTACTTACTCAGAAGAGACTTAAAATTTTGTTTAACTCAGATGGGACTTAAAAAATTAGTCTAACTCAGATGAAACTTAAAATTTTGACTAACTCAGATGGACTAAAAATTTAGACCAACTCAAATAGGACTCTAATTTTAGACAAATTAAGATGGGAACTAAAAATTTAGACTTACTCAGATGGGACTTAAAATTTAGACTTAGTCAGATGGTAATTAAAATTTTGACTAACTCAGATAAGACTTACTCAGATGGGACTTAAAATTTAGACTTATTTAGATTGAGAACTTACTCAGAGGAGGGATCTCCACTGTTGTAGAATGTGACTTTACTGTGGCTGTTATGAGAGTTATGTTCCTTCTGTGTGATCTGGTACCGAGCGATTCCTAGAGCAGGGACCTCAGCAACAAAGGACAGCTATAAAACAGACATTACATATATCATACAGAGATCTGGTACCGAGCCATTCCTAGAGCGGGGACCTCAGCAACAAAGGACAACTATAAAACAGACATTACATATATCATACAGAGATCTGGTACCAAGTGATTCCTAGAGCGGGGACCTCAGCAACAAAGGACAACTTTAAAACAGACATTACATATATCATACAGAGATCTGGTACCGAGCGATTCCTAGAGTGGGGACCTCAGCAACGAAGGACAACTATAAAACAGACATTACATATATCATACAGAGATCTGGTACCGAGCCATTCCTAGAGCGGGGACCTCAGCAACAAAGGACAGCTATAAAACAGACATTACATATATCATACAGAGATCTGGTACCGAGCCATTCCTAGAGCGGGGACCTCAGCAACAAAGGACAACTATAAAACAGACATTACATATATCATACAGAGGTGAATTGTGCTTTTGTCAATGAAAATTAAAACACTACTAGAATTGTAGCACAGCAGGTTAATATACATGTTAATGCATGTAAAGAGTTTCAAGACTGAATATTAAACATTTAACATTGTTCAACTAGGGGTAATTTTTTTAGTTTAACATCTCATTTTCTTTTAAAAACATATAAATTTAAAATCATCATGAAAACCGATATTGATTGACAGAAACAATAATTTTTTAACACACTCTTTACTTTAGATTCCTTATTTTTCGTGGCTTTTCAACGTCAAAGTGCGAGAATAAAACTTGTCAAAGGGACATTTGATCAAAAGATTTTATATAGATTTCACAACCTTATAAATAAAAGTAATTTATTTCCCGAATGGTGTGTCTCAAGAAATTACGCGATTATTAAGAATCTACAGGTTACAGTTTTCATCTAAACCAACGGTATTCATTCCATCCCCTGGGAATACTGCATCTAAATCAAGTTCACCTTAAATCGCCCTTCAGACATTGTAGTGGGCTCTGTCCAGTAGGGGTCGATGTCAGATTTCTTTTTGTGTTTGCCATAGAAATCATCTATCTGTTGTACACGATAGCCAAAAAATGTTTACCCACCAAAATCAAACGTTTGCAGCACGCTTCTTAAACAAGTAAGACTATTCACATTTTGTACTTAGATCGTAAAGAGCCTTAATTTTTTATATACAAAAAGAAATCTGACATCGAAGTAACAGTTTTAATGAAATACGCTCAGTTTGACCAATTTTCGGTGGACGACGGTTAATTTTTAACTTTCCTCTTTTCCTTTTCCATTTTAATGAGTAAATCGTGGTTAAATATTCTAAGAAGAAGAAGTTTATGGTTTGACCAAATCAGGAAACCACAATACTGTAGTAAATGGATGTTTTAAATTGCCACAATTTTACTTTAAAATCACCAACCTGTGATGCGATCTACAACTTTCGCGTCTGTTGTCACAGTTGCTCCTGTCGTCCCAGTTGCCGGTAATAGGGTGTGAATAGCAACATTATTAGAATGTATATCTGGTATGGATTCACTTTCACTTATGTCCGGGTAACCAAGCATTATTATCGACCAATCATAACTCTAAACCGTAAATTGGAATTGGCCGAGATCATAATCCGACATAGAAACATGTTGTATTGTAACGTGTTGTAGGGGAACGAATTAAAGCCACTGGAATCCCTACAACATTCAGGGATTGGGTCAGATTAGAATCAGATCTTAGGGATAGAACTACAGTACACTACAGTGCGCTGCCAAAATATACAAACAGACTAAATGTATTCAACGTTTTTACAGACTAGATATATTCAACGTTTAATTTTCAGAACATGTCGAGAAAACATTTAATATTTTGATAGGAATTTAGTTTTACATTTAAAAAAATATAGATAATTTTAATGATATTTACATTGAAATTACGAATATAGACTGGAAGCTTGTAGTTAGAGAGAGCGAAAAATATTTGCAAAGAAAAATAGTTTTAAATAGATTTTTTAAAATAGTTTGATAACTTAATAAATCAGACGTCCATCTTTCTTTGACAAAGTGTTTGATTTATTTTGAAAAGTTGGTGAGAGTTATGCTGACTTCCTTTACAACTTCACAAATGGACACTCTCTGTCCGTCCTCCTTTGACAGAGCATCAGAAGAGGTTATCAAATGAGGGGCTGTGAAATTTCTTATCTCCCCCTCCCATTTCTTCATCAGAACAACTTTGTTGTCTTCTGGAAGGTGTTTTAGCTGCAAACAAGACTTCTTTTTGATGTCATCTGAAAGAGCTAAATTAGTAAATTATGCATACCAAATAGTCTTTTATGGTTCAAAAGTAATAGTGAAGGTTAAAGTTTGCAGACAAACAGACAGGACAAAAGCAATGTATGCCCTGGATCTATCGCGCCGGGCGCAAAAAGCTAAAAAAAATATCTTCAACCAAATTGTGGAAAGCAGTTTTTTTTCTTTCATTTTTAGCCGGACTTATTGCTCAAAGAGCAATTGCCGGCTTATGTGATCCTGTTCAAGGCAGGATGTTGACCCCATAGTCACCATTTTAAGTTACGTGCAAAAATATAGTTTTTACTCTCAACCGCTTTTGAGATAATACAAACGCTAAATAAAGCAACAAAAATAAAACGAAGTTTTATCTATGGAGACGTAACCATTGCCGGTGAAGGGCTGCAAATTTGGGCCTATGCTCGACACTCAGGGCCATTGAGCAGGGAGGAATCTTTATCGTGCCACACCTGCTGTGACACGGGGCCTCGGTTTATACGGTCTCATCCGAAGGACCGCCCCATTTTGTCGCCTTTTACGACAAGCAAGGGGGAACTGAGGACCTATTTTAACCCGGATCCCCACGAGTTATTAGGATTGAAAAACTCACTGTCAGTATCTTATCATTGATATTGATAGTTTTAAAATAATTTTTTCATCATAATATAAACGTGATTCATGTAAGAAACCCATTCTACTCTGTAAATGAGCCCGGCTCTCTGTACTTCTGAGTACTTTGATTATTTTTTTTTTGGGGGGGGGGAAGGGGGCTAAGCAAAAAATATTACTGTTTTATGAAAAAAAAAAATACATATGAATTTCAGCTTTCTTTTACTCTTGGATTATTTAATACTTAATTTAAGAGACGTTAAAAATCGGTTAATAGCCATGATAACCGTATTGACTACATTTTAATACCAAAAAGAAATTTATTGTGTATAATTGTTCTTTTGAAATATGGAAAAGGAGGTAATAACAATTTTTACCTCACCTCAGCCGAAAGCTAAGAAAATCTTTTCTGATCACATTTTGTCCATGGTCCATCTTTAATTTTGTTTTATTCATATGTCTGTAAGAGCTATCGGGTCAATTTCAACCAAACTTGCCATTTAGTATCCTAGGGTGAGGGATATTAAAGTATTAAAAAGGCCACATTCTTTTCTAAGGGGAGATAATTACAAATAAGTGAAAAAGTTAATAGAATCTTTTAAAAATCTTCTTAAGAACCCCTTGTCTAGTAAAGATGAATCACATGTGGAATTGTCATCAGGTAATGTTACTATGTAGATCAAAATTTGTCTAAATCAGGAAACCCCAGGGGTAGTTTGATGCCACGACGTATTATAGTTTAACAAAGAAATACTTAAGAAATTTCTTTAAAAATCTAAGGAAAATTGTTTTTATTTGTTTTATTCATTTAAAAGAATCCTAAAGTAGTGTAATTTCAAATTTAGTCAAATCGTGACCTCAGAGGTTGGATGTGACCACAATGAGTGATCTAAGTTTTAAAAAAAATTCTTCACAGTAGGTGAGTAAAGTTATAGAAACAATCTTTAAAAATTATCTTTAAAACAGCAAAACCATGATTGGTTGTATGAAAATATTTACAGATAGTGTAGATTAAATTTTGTTCAAATAATTAACCGTTGGGATAGGGTTGGGGTAGGGTTGGCCGCAGTGGAGATCGACGTTAAACTATAATCAATAGAAATTTTTGTTTTTAAGATCTACTGCGCCATAATAGCTGAAACGTATGTGAAGCATCCTTATGTAGTGTATATTCTCAATTGTTCAAATCAGCTTGGTGGAGGGGGGGGGGGGGGTTAGCATTAATGTGTATTATAAGGTGGAAAATCTGGCAAAGAACAGCATGTCCAAAGTCACTCAGACAAGCCTTTGAGTGTAGGAGGTATTTGGTTTAAATTACATGTAATTGAAACAGTTTTAAAAATCAGTACGACGTTTTTCTGAAAACTGATTCTACTAGATCTTAATTAGGGTTCCACCAACTATTCCATTCCAACATATATCTTATTATAAAGAGATGCTTAGAACAGATATAATGTTTGATTTGGAAAGTTACAACATTCTAAAAGAAAAGAAATACATGTATAGATTGTGCACAGGTACTCACTATGGTTCTTCGTTTCATCTGATAGTTGTAGATGGTAGCAATGATTGCCTCTGATGGCACCTTGAAGATTTCCACTCTCTCTGCCTTGACAGGAGCCATCAGAGGACGCTCTGATGATACGCTCTGTCTTCATGTTGAGTACCGAAGTGAGAGTTCTGAAAATTTCTGCCCCAGTATGAGTAAAAAAATATCTGACCTCTCCTTCCCCCAAAACAAGAAAGAAGTCAAACTGGGAATTTCTGAAAAAAAGAAAAGAGTATTGGAAAAGGTATGGCAAGCATTTGTTAATCATTATAAAATTAGACTCATCCTAAGATTGTTTATATTCAAAGAAGATTGAGGGATAAGGCAGGCGAAGTGCCTTAAGTGCGACAGATAAAAAGATAAAAAGTGAAAAATTGAATTTCAATTATATCCAAAGTTGTGATTCGTATTTCATCTTATACTAAAGTATTCTAAATGTAAAATCTCGACAATTTACAAAAGTCTCACAAAGACTGAAAATAATTACCTATTAAAAAGCATACTCACACTAAAAAGAACAAAAACGACCATTTTCTCATACTTTAACAATATTTTAGGCTACCCCAAAAAACTATTGCTATATTTGTCTGTCGTCGTAGGACGTCCAAATAAACTTTTGAACAATTTTAGCCTTTCTGAAACCACTGAACCAATTTCAACGAAATTTTGTATACAGCATCTATGGGTAAAGGGGAACAAAATTGTGAAAGGTGTGGCCAAAACAACTAAAATGAATGCAATCTTTTAAAAATCATCTTCTTTACTCCGGAACATCAAGCAGTCAAACTGTCGACTTGATTAAATCAGCATTGCGTCCTCCACAAAACTTGGGAAATTCATGGCCCACTGGGTCAGGGGTTCTGGTGTTAGGGCGGGGCTATATAAATCATGTAGTAAAAGTACATTGTTTCTTTAAAAATCTTCTTCACTGCTCCTTGGTATTAAATAAATTAAGTACATAGTTATGATAACCAAGAATGCCTCTTCTAAAATTGTGAATTTCATTGCCCCTTGGTCAGGGGTTAAGGCGGGGCTACATAGATCATATAGAAAAATGTATTATTTCTTTGAAAATATTCTCTTTGTCCCTGGGTATTAAACTAACTAAGAACATAGTTATGATGACCAAGAGGTAAGTGCCTCTTCAAAAAATGTGAATTTCATGGCACCTGGGTCAGGGGTTCAGGTTAAGGCGGGGCTCTACAGATTGTTTAGTAAAATATTAATTCTTTAAATTTTTTCCTCTCTGCTCCTCGGTATTAAACAAGCTAACTTAGTACATAGTTATGATTAGGGAAGATTGTTTGACTGTTTAATAATTTTATTTCACTTGTATCAAGCAGTTTCATTGGCTGAATCATTCAGAGGAACATATAATATTTTTTGATAACATAACTTGCTTACGTCACAATGAGTTACGTCAAAAATGTATTATTCCACTTGACGTAACTTTTAAAATAATGCTCAATTTGAAGTCTTTTTCCGGTGGAAATATTGTCTCATTGTCTACACTAGAATTAAATTATAAGGAATTAAGCTAATTTCAACTTATGTTATCCGATATAACAAATTGTGGGGCAATTTACGCTTTTTATAAACCGCTTCGCTGTTTATAAAGCGTAAACTGCCCCAAGTTATGTTACATCGTATGATATAAGTTGAAATAAGCTTCCTTCCTTAATTGTTTAACGTCCCACTCGAGAATTTTTCACTATGGAGACGTCACCGTATGCCGGTGAAGGGCTTCAAATTTTGACCTTTACTCGGCACTCCGGGCCATTGATCAGGGAGGGATCATTGATCCAAAATGTGAACAAAGAGACACTTGCTACTGCAGGTTGCACGCAAACATGCAGTATATGATGGATCGCATGAGGGAAAACAAAATTATCACGAGAATTGTGTGAGCAAATTTCTTGCGACCCTCCAACCAAAGAATGTATGTATAGAGAATAATGCAAGTGCGAACTGACGCAAATAGAGTTTGACAAGAAATTCAAAGAATTGTGGTCCCCCGCTTTCGGTTTCTTTGTGGATGAGATGTTATTTTTTATGTGAAGTATGAAAGCCCTAGCCCTTACTGTTCAAAAGTTATGTTTAAGGTTAAAGTTTTTTCATAAGCACGTAAATCTTTAAGGTCAATGTCAAAAGATCAATGTTGTTGGAATCCAATGAAAGGACTTGCCACAAAGAATACATATATGAAATGTAAAAGTCCTAGTATCTACCGTTCAAAAGTTGTGACCAAAGTTAGAGTTTTTTTTAAGAAGTAGTTAAAACTCCAATGTCAAGGATAAAGGGTCAAAGTTGTTGGTATCTAATAAAAGGTCTTCTCAAAAGGATAACATTTGTGAAGTACGAAAGCCCTAGCCCTCACCGTTCAAAAGATATGGTCAAGTTAAAGTTTTTTCATAAGTACGTAAATCTCCAAGGTCAAGGTCAAAAGGTCAAGGTTGTTGGAATCCAATGAAATGTCTTGCCACAACAAACACATATGTGAGATATAAAAGTCCTAGCATCTACTGTTAAAAACTTGTGACCAAGGTTAAATTTTTTTAAAAGTAGTTTAAACTCCAGGGTAAAGGTCAAAGGGTCAAAGTTATTGGTATCCAATGAAAGATCTTCTAACAAGTATTATATATGTGAAGTTCGAAAGCCTTGGTCCTCACCGTTCAAAAGATATGGTCAAGGTTAAAGTTTTTTCATAAGTACGTAAATCTCTAAGGTCAAGGTTATTGTTATCCAATGAAAGGTCTTGCCACAAACAAAATATATGTGAAATATGAAAGTCCTAGTACCTACTATTCAAAAGTAATGGCTTAAGTAAAAGTTTGGAATTTTTGTGTAAAAGTGTGTTAAACTCCAAGGTCAAGGTCAAGGTCAAAAGGTCAAATTTGGTGGTACCCAAAAAAAGGTCTTGTCACAAGGAATACACATGTGAAATATGAAAGTCATAGCTTTACTAAATCAAAAGTTATGGGCAAGGTTAAAGTTTTTGTGACGGACAGACTGACAGACGGACAGACGAATGAGATTTAAAGCGGGGGACAAAAATGAGGATGATACTAAGGGATAGTAGGTGTGGGTGTATGCATGGAAGAACAGACACGAGGAAAGGGAGAATGTGAGACCAAATGGGGAGAAAAGAAAATATAATGTTCAAGTAACAGTGAAAGAGAAAGTGTTCTTTACGTTATTGCGCGTTTAATATCAATCAAAAATAATCAGTCCTCTACTCCAGGTTTCCCCTGCGACTTTCTGTACGTCCGTCCGTCTGCTAGGCTTTTGGGTACTCATCACCTATCCGTAACTCCTATCATACCACTGAATCGTAACTCCTATCATACCACTGAATGAATTTTGATGAAACCATCACTGAGTCTTTCAAACATAAGGATATGGAAATAACGAACAGTATTCAATCTCAACGTCCATTAAACAAATATACAAAATAAGAGTTGAGCAAACACGGACCTCCGAAACATCAGAGGTGGGATCAGGTGCCATGGAGGAGTGAGCATCCCCTGCTGACCGGTCACACCCGCCGTGTGCTCATTGTCATAATCAGGAAATAACGGAAAAAATCCGTAGTCAATTCAATGTATAAATAATGGACTAACAATTGGTATGAAAAACGTCAGTCAGCATTTCATTCAATGATAAATTGTATTTGCTGACAAGGTCATTGTATCGACCATAGAATTTACGAAATGATGACTTTAAACGAGACTGTTGATATTCTTGTTTCATCAACTGCTGAACAATCAACAATCAACAATACATACATGTATTGATATTGTGCATCTTCTTTTACATTTTGATTCAACACATATTTTGATTTTCCCTGGGCACTGCTTTTATATGTATATAGTCTTTAAACTATTGTACTTATTTGCAGCCTGTGATGGATGGTGCTATATGACATTTTCATTTATTTTAGTGTTTATGGCCATCCACACCTGGTTGTTGAGAGGTACGAATTAGGAGGGGGTGGATTTTATTTTTGGGGAAAGCGAGATAACTCTGTTTATATTTTTCGACTCCTTGACCGGAAGCGGTGAGTCCCCAAGTTTAATAAATCCGCCATTGCCTCATTTCATGTGTTTCATCTGTCTCTTCATTCTTCAGGAAATATTTTATAATTTGCAATTTATTACATCTTGTATCTAATGAACAAGTTTGATAATTAGATTAGGAACATGTTGTGACTTGATATGAGAATGCTAATGTATGAATTAGTGCTATAGGCTGCAAAGCGAGCAGGTAAACAGTAGCTACCATGTGAGTGCACACGTGTTGTCATGTTTTATAGATGCATGTTTAATTACCTGTTAATATTGTCATAGGACAAATATTTCTTTAGTTATTATGTTATAGGAAATACAGTTTAATTGATAGTATTAAGTGTCGTGGAGATAAAACCTGTTTTGTATCTATTTGATTACCGAGTAAGGTTGACCTAGTTAGTATATCCCATGATGCTTCAAGCGTAATGGCTGCGCCCATTGTTTACATGTGAGTTCGGGTAAAGTTAAGTTGTTTTACGAAGTTATGCAATTTCTGTCAAGCAAGATTATATCTATTCGTTAGAAATAATTAACGACAGTATTGATAATGTATGTTTATGCTATTCTATCATAATTTTGTTGTAAGGAAAGCAATATCTAGTCATAAATCTTAACTATATTATGTCACAGTAAGTCAGTATGTTTTATCCATTGAAAGTATTAGTCAACAGCTGTTTTACTGAATTCTAGTCATGTCATATTTAAAGTCTATTAGTTCTAGTCAGTTTATAAATGAAACCAAGCTCATGTATTCAGGGAAAATAACATTTTGTGTTCTGATGTTATTGATATAAAAGTTGGTATGGCTTGGAGTATTATAAGGCTTTATTTATGGCCTGAGTATGTCTTGCTTATCATTGTTATACGTTGACATGAATATGTGTTAGATGAAGTTTAATAAATCCGCCATTGCCTCATTTCATGTGTTTCAGGAGCCAGTCATTTGGACACGGGTAACATGGTTGTGAATTTTGCATTTTAAGAACTCATTGTGCATTTCATGATCCTGCCTTAGTGAAAGTGTGGACAGAGTCACCTGGCA